CGAGTTGTAACTACAATTTGTCTTGTAGAGTCCATAGCATCGTAACTGTTCACTAATATTGTACAGCACAATATAAATAGTGGTGCACTTCCATAATTCATCCATTCCTCAACTTTTATTTCATTGCATATCTCACGATTGTCTACCTTGTCCTATTCCTGCCTAGAGCACACTTATGATCTCCTCTACGTCTAAATAAAGGATTTCTTCTTCGTTTTAGAATCTCTCTCATAGCATACCAAGGATGTACTCATCCAATTAAAGTAACACACAAAATCCCCTCATATTACATACGTATAGTAGTATCAATGTACTTTTAACAACTTAGTAGTAATTAATATAATACATGCCTTAATAGGGTTTGATAGCAATATTAATAATAGAGCACAAGGGAAATTATAGTTTCTATCATCATTAATAGCAACTAAAATATAGTTCATACCACATGATGCCAATACTAAGATATTAGCATTTATATTTGTATAAATTCAAAATACAGACTGTTACAATATCGTACTCATGATACAGTAAATGCCTTACTATCATATCATAATTCTTTTTCGTTTGTTGGCTAATGAATCATTATTCTGAAAGCTAATTTACATTACAGAATACTGATACTAATAATAAACTACTGTAGTATCAATATCAGCTACAGACAGACTCTTACAATACTGTACTGGATCATTTATAATAATATAATATGGTACATGCCTTAATAGGTTTGATAGCATACTGTATAGTAGAATTACAAATGCTGTATAGTCCATATTGCACAGAAATTTACTGTACTGCGTAAAAGAAAAGAAATGCAGACTGCCAGATTCTGTTGTTACTCCTGGCATTTAATTGTTTATATAGTGGTAGAGTAATTGTAATAAGATTGATTACGTCATTGTGGTTGTCAATTTAGCAATGTGATAGCTCTACCAGTGCATCTTCGATATGTTAGTTACATAACAGCACACAAATTGGTGATACTGTAATAACCCTCCGATATCTATTCATTGACTGTCTTATTCCTGCACAGACAGTAGAGAAGAAATTAGTTAACTTAATTTGCTTATCCATGCTATACCTGTCGATAGTTCAGTATATTTAGAGACTATGACCGCCAAGGAAAATTTTGAAGGCTTATTCCGTACTGTCATAGCAGTATTACTATGCTAGTGATGGTTTACATAACTAATCTAACCTCGGGGATAGTGGCATACGCGTACGTACTGTGCATTAAAATATAACAGATGTTAGTAGTACCCAGCTGTCCAAATTCGATTGCACAGGAACTAAAGCATCATTCTTGCATACAAAACAGTAATTAGTACTAGCGAATAATAGCCTATAGGTACAACATAATAGGAATGAAAAATACTGCCATGTATACTCTGCATTGATTTTTACACGATCTTCGATTCGATCACATCATCAATACCTACAGTATACGACGCCTTGCCTACCCACTCAACTGAAATTCAAATCTTATACAAGGAGTAATCCTTCTTAACAATCATAAACACCGCTATTTTTGATAATAGCAAAAGTAATTGAGATATGATAAATATTATTTAGTTGGTTGTCCTTATTACAGTTATAACATAAATTGTCTTTCCTATCAGCAGCAAAGCAATACCGTATAATAATGATAATAATAATAATTCCCTAATAATAATAACAATAATCATCGTAAGAATTATAATGAGGCGCAATATTACAAATACTTGTCGCACTGAAATAAAATTAAATCTGTCCTAGCGTATTAGCTTCCTCTAACTTATCATTTGTAGACAACTGATTCGTCCATGTAGACCTAGCACATTGAAACTTATGTGTTCTTGATCCTTTCATATTACTTATCTAGTCAATATATTTATCAATAGAGTCGATATGCAGATATATAAGACAATATATTGGCAAATCAAAGTTAGCGACATAATCCCTAATTGTAGTACCCTCTATCCAAGTTAACCGTATTATTCGATATACCTGCTATTACTTGGTAGAAAGTATATAATCAAGAGAATAACTATCTTAAAGCAGTAATTGTCATGTAGATTTAATCATATACAATCTAGACTAAAACATAATTAGAATTAATCACCTAAAAAACAAAGCGTTACATACGTCTGATATTCCGTATATGTCTTTAAATTCAAAGTAACAACAAAACAAGTATTGATCATGTTAAAGAGTAAGATCTGATTACTCGCTTATAATCAGTCATAATTTCTACTTTATCAATTAATGGTGGATCATAATGTTGAATATTTGCATTGCATTCATTATAGATTGCTCACATCATTTAGCTTTATGACTTGGTTGTTACTGACGGGTTATCAGTAATGGTTTTACTGTTTAGTTTCTTCATCACTGGCCTCATCTTGGCCTTCCTTCTCCTTTTCTTCATTATACTGAGTCAGCTTAATCCTTTCTTCATCAGTACCATCCTCGTCTAAATCTCTCTGTACACTGTTAGCTACGCCATAGGTCAGGTAGATACTGCCACCTAAGTAAAATAGATATCACATTTTAAATTTGAACAAAAAATCAACGGCATAAACTTTGAATAATTAGATAAAAACAATGATATAATATAAATTTTATTGTACGCGTACGCTATAAAGCCATTTGTATCGTAGATCTGTACTATAACAGAAATATAGGTATTCAACTAAAATCCTCTTTATTCTGATATTCACACAACATTCAAGTAATAAAATGATTTAAAATCAATACTAACTTACCGATAAACATCCAAATGCCAAATCGGATCCAAGTAAAGAGTGTCAATTTCAAAATTAAAAAGGTGTTACAATAAATAGCCAAAATGGGTAGGCCAGGGACCAAGGGAGCTTTAAATAGCAATTCTTTCTGACTTTGTGGCTGAATAGTAATGATAACAATGAAAGCCACACAAGCCAAACCAAAGACGATAGTCAAGATGATAGCCCAAGCTACAAAATTGATTATAAATAAATTAATCTTTGCAATTTGATCATGAAACTAAACGCTTAATTAATTTTTGCTCTCAAATATTTATGTTACATGTAGTAAAGTCTATGGATCAAGTAAATCTTTAACATATCAAAGCAAATTAGAATATATGTTAGTGCTTTAAAATTTTTATATTTACCTAATTTCTGTTCAAGTGCCCAACCACCATAGATGATAAGAGCATTGAATGAGAACATGAAAATAGTCAAAAAAGCTATAGACCAGTTGACAACTAATGAAGAAGTCCAGTTAGGAGTATCATTTTTAACGGTCGATTTAAGTCGATTGGTGTAATGGCCAACTTTTGCTTTCTTATCTAATGTCTTAGCTTCTTCCTTAGCTTGTGCAACTTCCTCGCTACGTGCTGACTTATATTCATCCGCATATTGCATTTCATATTCAGTTTGTGGTTGATAACGTAAGATGAGAACGGAAGTAGATACTAAAGTATAAGCCAACAAGGTACCAATAGACATCATTTGAATTAAATCCTCTTCAGTAAATATACAAGCTAAGATACCAGTTAGGAAGCCTGCACTCATGGTAGCAAGAACAGGCATTTGGGTACGCTTGTAGACTTTAGCAAATACCTTAAAGATAAGACAATCTATAGCCATAGCGTAGATGATACGTGGCATTGGGAAAAGGGAACCCATCAAGCTAGCAGTTAGACCAGCGATGGCACCAATGATGATGAAATATTTAACACCTGGTACACCACGATCAACAAATACCTGTTGCAAGGAAGCTGCTTTGGATAAATCATAGTATGGAACCATCAAGGTCATGACCATGGAAACAGTGAAGTAGCACAAGAAGAGGATGATTAAAGAGGTAACAATGGCAATGGGAATGGATTTCCTTGGATTTTTAGCTTCCTCACCGGTAGTAGCAATAATATCGAAACCGATATAGGCATAGAAACAACTTGCTGCACCTGTAGTTACACCATGAGTACCGTAAGGGAAGAAGGCTTTTTCACCGGTCCACAATTGCGGTTCAAAATAGAAAGCACCAACACCCAAACTGAAGACAACAGTCAACAAGGTACACGAGTTCAAAATGTTATTCAAAAGGGCAGATTGGCTAACACCACAAGAGATGACACCGCTAAAGAAGATGGTGATCAGTAAAGCAATAAAATCTGGATATTTAGCCAGACCGGGTGCGTCCATCTCGCCCACATAGCGCAAAAAGAACATACGTATAGCATTGTGAAACAATGTATCAATGTAAGAACTTAAAGCACGAGAACAAGCGGCGGTCCCAATGACATATTCCAAGATCAGATTCCAACCAATGGTGAAAGCAACAGCCTCACCAACTGTAACGTAACTGTATACATAGGAAGAACCTGACATACAAATAGAGAGAGAGAAAAAATGTACGGCTAGTTAAGTAAATGGCGGTATCATGATGCTATCGTAGGAGCAATGAGAGTGTGTTACGCTATGCTTTATGCAAAAAGTTAAAATTGCGAAAATTGGCACATCTTTGCAACACAGAAGTATTTAAACAAAGAATTAAATTTTGTATGCGAGAAATTTTAAATTAGGAATAAATTTATGCGCAATTGTAAAATAACGATAATTAAAAATCGATGTATTAGTATATAAATAGAATTTATGGACTCTTTACAAGTTATATGAAGTAAACAATTCTACACTTATAGTTTTATGTATATACAATCTATAAGCTGTAGCTTGGCTTTACTGTATTCTAGGAGAAATCTAGACAAAGTAGAATTATTTAATTCCAAATCTAATGCGTTTCATTCAGTATACGTCGTAGTTAATAAATTCTTATACCCTAGCCAACTTGTCAAGTCTGATATTAACTTATACTGTATATGGGAGTTTAAACCGTCTGTTCGTAAGGGTCCGCTCCGTAGAGACTGAATACATTAGTAGCAATATGGCTGGATAGGAACTCGTGTTCTAATCCACCATATGACATTACCTACTTCTGGTACTATGCTACATCTGGTGATTGAGAATCGTATACAATATGACATCGATCACTTTCATAATTATCACGTATGTTGATACAAAATGCTAATAAATAAGCTGAAAGTATGGCACTTTTTCCTATAAGATGTAAAATGTTGTACAATACTATTTTTTAAATTAGAAATTTCCCTTTACTATCACTAAACTCAAAGCTAAATTACTTCCTAATAGTTCCTATATACAGTATATCTGTCCACACAAAATACTGTAATATATTGATAACACTATGCTATGCCACGCCACATCTGTCATCTATTGTATTAGATAAAATATAGCCAAATAAGCGCACGCTAGTCAAATTTTATAAACCGCATGGGCCTCATACATTTGGATGTAGCCGCAAAAATATTAAATTATTTTACGGAATGTAGCTATCTTTTTGGTATCAATTAATTCAATCACACCTTTAAATAATCATTTAAAAGCGTATAAGATTGCATGTGTCTATATAAACTAATTCATAAAATTGGCGACATTATAGATTAATTTATAAATGAAATAGTGGATAAGCTAGACCTACAAATATTTAGAATTGAACTTGTGAATTATTTCATTCAAACTAAATATGCCTATCCTGCTACGAAAATCAAAAATTAAGGTATGATATTATAACATGAAAACTATCAGCGGACTATTATCAGATGGTAAACTGGTTTTAACTCATTTTCATTATGGCTATTCCATAAATCTTTGAACAATAAGGTGCATCGCGTTCAACATTCCACGAGGAATTTAAAGGCAAGTGCCGTGGGCGTAATATAGTCAGTTTTGGGACCAAGTAATGAAATTTTGATCGAAAATTTCGAAAATTAGATATACCATCTGACCTGACTAATCTACCGACTACGAGTAGAACTACATTTTTCGTGGAAGTCAAATAGTAGTAAAATATTTGTCCAAAATAACACAAGCAAGGTAATATTTAATTCTATTACTTACTGACCTGTTGTTTTAGGCACACGAGCACCAAATTCTGCATAACAGAGACCGGAAAGGATAGATGCAAAGGCAGCAATAGCAAAAGAAATTGTAACTGCAGGTCCTGCAGTATTTTTAGCCACACCAGCTGCTACGACAAATACACCAGTTCCCAACACACTTCCAACACCAAGTGAAATTAAATCAGCGGTAGTAAGAGATTGCTTAAGTTCTGATTTGCCTTCAGGATTGGGTACAGGTTTCAATCGAGTGAAAGCATTACGGTAAAACGCCCAGCTGCATTCTGGGCATCTTACTTTTTCCTTTACTGGTTGTTCGGCCATTCTACTTGCGGCAAAGAAAGATCTTTTAGTAAAATGATCTATCGAAGATACTTCTTATTAGAAGATAATTATTAGATTCGCAACAGGTGGACAATCCTTGGATTTCCTCACCTCTGCTTATTCTATGAAAAAAAAATAGAATTCAGTACATGAGTTACTCTTAATTTTTCATTCAATCGATAATACTCTAATTACGTTAGTGCTAGTTGATCAGTTATCAATTTATTAGTAAGATTATTTTTGTGATTACGCTATTTAATATTTAGTCAAGTTAAAGCTTGGATTCTCTAAAATGCTATACTAATGGAGAAACATATTTCTATCTATTGCATTTCTGTGGTCTAGTCATTAGCATTTTACAAAGTAAAAATCGATCAATGTTGAACTCACCTGCCAAGTAGAAATGTGACCGATATTAGGTTACAATTCGGGTACTTATTTAAGTAAAAATAAATACTTATAGTAAGATAGCATATGCCATTTGCATGCCAGCATTCAATTGATTGGTTGTTGACAGTCTGCAATCCATTACGGTCAAAATCTTCTCCTTTACTACCATATGTTACGGCATGTCACTAATCACTATATGGCACTATAGAAATATAACTTAGTACTGTTGCCTATTTAAATCCAGTACACGAGTATCTTTATGTGAGAGGTATCAAAATTAAGCCACACTATGGAATTTAGATTTCTATAGTTCCTACCACAATGACCTATTGCGGTCATGATTGATGAATGTTACGAGAATGTAGCAAGTGCTAGCAATCAATCATGTATGTAGTTAATTATGTCCTAGTAGGATTGTAATATCTTGACTTCTATGGCCTATATGCCTTGATAGAATGAAATACGCTTCTTAATATAGTCGAGCATAGTGCAGTCACAAAACTGTAGTTGCTCATTTATCTACTACATACAGTACTTGCCATTATGCCCAGTAAATTTCATATTCAAACTTTTTCATTAGTAACAAGCAAGGCAGTCCTTCATGATTTACAATATTAAATTTAAGCTTTACTAACAATAGCTATTAGGTTAGTTTGTGTGATTACGGCAAGGAACAATTTGTAAATTTAAGACACAGCTTTTCGTACAAAGTTGAAGCACGGTTCGAGGATGTTTACAATCAAATAAAATATGCGTACGCAAAAATAGATTTTAAGATTGAATGAAAATATCTCGTCCACTATCAATAGTAAATATAGGATTACGATTAGTTTGCATTACAATAAAAGAATTTTCCGATGTATCAACTAAGTAAACTTGATGCCATATGCACCTAGTGATATAGTTCGCTTGAATACTGACAAATAGGGATCATGTTAACAAATCCAGTAAATACTATAATATATGTCATTTTGCTATCAACATCAGCATGCAATAGTCAAATATCTTATTCCATTGATATTCAAAGTCAAACAACGTGACCTACAGGAGCTACATAGTCTATTGCAGCTAATAAATAGCTTTTATTTGGTCATTTTTAAAGGATAGTCATTGACATACAATAGCAGATATACGATCCATCAATTTACCTATAGCATGAGTTACTACACGTAAATCATTGCTTCAGTAGGTAAAGTAAATATCTATTACTATTTATCTACTACATAATGTACAAAGTTGATGGTCGGTAAAATCATAATAGCAGTCATTATTTGAGTCTTTCCGATATTTATCATTTTTTAATCGATTACAGATAAAGCTTTCATGCTACACTATTAGTCGTATATAACGATGTATCTCCCATTACATACAGTTAGTTAGACTGTGCGTAGTACACTACCACGTACAACTACAGAACAATTTATAGATCTTCCGCCGCATTAAAATAGTAAAACATAATTAAAAGTCGATAGCGTTATTGTCACCTACTATAAATTAATAGATGAAGCATATTGTGATAAAGTAAATAAACGCTACCGAGAATTAAAATTGGGTGCTCCTAATCTAATTTTCATTTAAACAATTGACATTAAAACTCTTTCCCAAACTTAAAGGATAAAATCAAAAAGATTAACGTCAAACAGTAATTGAATAGAAGAATTCATGTCATGGCATAAATATTAATATCGCTACATTTACAAATACAATAAACGATAAAGAACAATCTAATGTAATGAATCACTTGTCCAAATATAGTAAAATGACAACCCAAGTAGCTTAACCATATTTTTTGTTGAACAATTAATTAATGGCGTAAAAATAAACTGGTTAGGAACAATTGCAATTATTACACATTGATCATTTACTAGAATCCTAAGACGATGTATGACTACCATTAACATTATTAATCAAACTTAAAATATTGTTTGCCTGCAATAACAATGGTTTATCGATCATTTGGCCGCGAAAAATGAATGCACCCTATAAATAAAGATTTCGAAACAATATCGCAATTAGAAAATAGTACATCACTCAATGAATCAAATTAAATGTGTGATGCCATAATCACACAAATTTGCCGTATTTCAGTCTAAGTGTTCTTTGGGACTTTAAAGAATACGTAGGAATATATTTTACGTAAAATTATCATATTTTAAAGCGCACACATATGATAGGCCACAGTAACAAATCTGATTTCACACAGTCTACACTAATTTTTCATTTTAATGCGATAAAATCTCCTTGCACAATTGCACAGTACTTTCATAGTTCCTTTAAAGTATAAAGAAAGATTTATACAGTAGCTGTCACATAGCCTATTTTTAAATTTAACAATCGTCTTCTGACTGGAAATCGGGCTAACAAAATCACTGTCAAGTTGAGAATCAACACAGCGTTATCAAGTAGATGTATTCGAAAATGTAGCTGTTATTACGATGATAAACTGTTGCCCATGATTATCACCCGGAGGTATACGATTATTGGATTGAATACAGCATTTTACAAATCTGGGTTAAATAACTCTAATGCAATCAATATCAAAATATTGTTGCTATCTATTTTACTAAATATGCTGCAACATCACATGGTTGATATATGACGAGAATTTGAATGTCACTGTACATTATCAGCATTTCTTCATACTGTTTTATCATTACTAAAGGCCATTTTTACAGCATTAGAATTATTGTATTATACTTTTGGCATGCACAGTTTACTCCTATTATCACAGAATAGTAATGAGCAAGTTTTCAGATACGATACTTCATGACTAGGATAAGAGCCCAAACATGATATTTCGTGATGTAGTATTCAAAATTTCCGAAATTAATCGATCTGCTACGGTATTATCCGGGCTTGCTCAACTATTTTAGCAGTTACTTACTTTTCCTTGCTGTTGATGATCTTCAAATGCTATGGAGAGTGCTTTAGCCCATTCAATTTGCTCTTTGGAAGGCGAAAAAGATTCTTGTACAATGTCAATTTGACCAGGATGAATTACCTGCTTCCCTGAATATTCGCATCATCATTGTATAATATTCACAAGTTAACAATGTCATTAAGTAGAGAAGCGTACAATTTAAGTCGATAATAATCTTCATAAGTTACTAACAGAAGTCACCTAGTGCTATACTATACGGCTTATATTCATTTTAAAGGTGGATTTGTACAGTACTAGCTTTTATTATTAGAGAAAGTATATCAAGTGCAAACGGTTAGAATAGGTTATTATAATTATCGACATTATTTCGATAATCAAATATAAAAAAATTTTTTGTAATATTTGCAGTCTGGATACCTCAGCTATACAGTAGTATTGTACCGTACAAAACTTATTAATTACCTAAAGGATATTTCTTTAACACTTATCTATACTTGCATTTGTAATAATTTAAAAAAGCCTTGTTTGCTAACTGGTATCTAAGATATCGTATTTAGCAATTTATCATAGTGTTCTTAGAAAATCATCACGTATTGATCTCACCATAGGTACCGAACAATTTTCAGATTAAAATACGTCATTGCAATGGCCTACCTGTAAATCCCATTTTGGCACCTTCTATAGCTTGTCGTTGTAAACCTATCAGGTCTAGTAATTAACATCATTTAAAATCAAATCACTGGAATTAGTTTTTACTACATAGATGAAGTAAATAAGAAGAAGATTAAACAATTACATATAATGATTACTTTACCGCATAAAAATCATAATAAACGTGGCAATCTTATTGTAATAATGACATTACCTTTGTAATTATTATAAACCATATCAATAGCTTGAAGTCCAAATGCCTTAGCGTGTAAAATTACATGCTGTCTAGCGTACATTAATTCCATAGCGTTTTCTGTCTTTGAAGCGCCTATCATGCATGATGTGTACCATCATAGATTAGATAACGAGATAATTATACTTCCGATTAACACTTACAGTACAACATTCTCGCAATAAACTTTGTAGGTACGAATTAAAAAAAATTTACATCCATGAAATACAAGATAAAATGCAATGTAAATATCTCTCACCAATTTCAGCCAAGAAGTCATCAGCTCCAAAAATTAAACATTGTAGATCAAATGTATTACTCTTGAAAGAGGTAATCTCTTTCAAATTTAGCATTGCTATCGCCGTCTCTACCATTACACCTAAAATCATAGGTCTATTCAGACTTTTAAGATTTCCATTTCTGGCAGCTAAATCACAAAACTAAAACAACACCAGAGTATCAGTGATAGCTACACCAAGCATGTCTTTACATTAGTGTACTATTAATAGCTTCGACAAATCTCCGTAATGGAATATGAAGCTAAGAAATATGGATGATTAAAAGGAATCAGTTCCTTGTTATATGCAAGCCGACGCTATATTCTCAACACTTATTCACGAACCCAATTGATATCATCCACCGAATTAACTTTAGGTAAAAGTAATCCATCAGGTAAATTATTTGACGCCAATATAGAAGAGACATCATCTTCAGTTAGTCCAGTATCTCTGGAATTGACCCTAATAAACCGATCTTTTGATCCGAAATCAGTACGTGCCAGTAATTTTGGTATATTAACTCGTGCTTCTTCCTAGACGTACATGCATAAGTTTACCAACATTTGTAAGAGTGAGATAAGACATTCTCATGTATTCTAACCGATACTAAAGCGAATCAGACAGTACCCTATAATAATGAGATATAATAAGGCTGCACTCATACTATCTTATTTCAGACCTCTCATATTTCATAACATCGACAACATTATCTCAGATGCTATAGCAAATGCTATTCCATGTAAAAATGATACCCAACGTTGTATCTAACTACTGGTAAATGAGTAACACTGTAGCAACTATATTGCATTCTACATTACAGAAACGTTACAACTATATCGAAAAAGTGTACTGCATAACAATAAGATGGTTTACTTCCTTCTCCTCCATATAAATTCATCTAGCACTATAGTTAGGTAGCAATTGCAATCTCAAAATAGAAACGACGTAAAAGTAAACACTGTTCTACAATTTGTAAAAAATAATACAGATCATATAGTTTGTACCATTCCTAACCGCAACTGGTGGTATCATCATCAGCAGATTGGAGGTACTTAAGGTCTCCACGACAGCTAGCATTAATATTTCATTACTAATCTACCGTATACTGTATTACTTCGTAAGATATTAGATTGTATACTTTGCTATTAGATAGAATTAATCTAAGTAAAATACGCGTACTGTTAACATACTAGGCATGCCTGGCATTGTTATAGCATAAATGTTTCTTGTAGGATTAAATGAACGCCAGTAAGTAGTCTGTAGCTAATTTACGCCTTGTAGCAATTTATTTCGTAAAGACTGCAAGGCAGGTTCTATTCAAAAGTTTCACATATCCTATTTTATTTTTACAGGATAATATGAAAAACTTTAGTAAACATGTACGTGGCAGAGGTGGAAAATTAGCAGAAATCATAAATCAATTGATCATTGACTATTTCTCTCTGTATTCAGTTTCAAGGAGGAGATGCCAATGCTTGTGTATATTCAATTAATACAGTAGTTGACACCAACCTTTTTGTTGATAGCAACTCCATCTTCACAATCCAAAACGATCGAATCAATGGTTAAAGTTGCAGCTTTATTCGCTTTACGATCATCATATCCAGGAACATACATAATAGCACGCCTTGGAGTAGCTGCAGCTCGTTGATGATATTTCATCGTATGACTACAATGAAATCCACGCCAACATGCGACCTGTAGGCCACGTCCAGGCATGAAATTGATGGATGAAAATTTGGCTATACCGTTCATTTTTGTTCTTTCGACTCTTTTTTGCACAGACTATCTTGCTGATATCAGAATTTCCTGCTTTACCTGCTGCTATACCTCAAGTAAAACGTTGGTAGATCGTTATTTATAGCTGGCAGGTGTTGCTTTGCAATCTACTGTGCTAGTTGTTGGTTAATAATTAATATCTATAATTATTTAATTTATTTATTTAATTAATATGCAGTACAGGCCGATCCGAGAAGCTTACTGTATACAGTACAGTACTGTATCACTCAGGTACGAAAGCGATGTCACCCACGACATGATTTTATTGGGTTAGAGACTGTACTGTAGTGTGCGCTAGCATGACAATACGCAGATTTCGCCACAGGAGTTTCATAATAAACTCCACTTTCAACCCTTCAGTTCTAACACTCTCCTTTGCATTTCTGGGATGACATCTATTTTTCTCACCACTGGTACGGTGCACTGGTGCAGTACACTGATTGACACTACAGTACTACTTCGGCCCTTGTACCACTGTATACAGTATAATGTTCACTAGAAACCCTCATACAGGGTCTCTAATTTTCACTATGGCCATGGTCTTCAGTAGTCCATGACTAAGGCCCAGCCATGTTGATGTCGATATCTTCATAAAATGGAAGGGGCTATTTCCACTTAAATAAAAGTATGGCGTTGTTGAAGTGGCTTACGCTGAATATTGAAGATATCAACATCAATATGGCTGGGCCTGTTGTACGCCATGATTTGACTGAACGCTGTGGTCTTTTCTTTTAGCTCAGTCGTTTTGCACTCAACTCATTGTCATAGACTCTTGTAGATCCAATTTCATCCAACTTTATCTATAAAAATGAAAGAAATGAGTATGTGCCATAGAGGTAAGAAAAAAAAGCTTTTTTTCCTTACCTCTATCGGCTCTATAGTATGTACATACTGGACATTTAAGTGCACAAGTGCAAATGGACGTACTATGTTATCTAATTATATACGCGTATCGAGGTAAGGGCAATATGGAATACAATACTATACGAATGAAAACGACCAACTGGCTTACTAATCTTAGTTTAACCATATGGTATTGGTCAAAAGTCTAGCAGGTAGATTTATTCTTGTTCCAGTTTCTGTAGAAACTGTTGGCAGTATTTTCTCTTTATTGATTGAAAAACGGTGACATATATATATACTGTACGTAGGGACTTCCGAAATAGTTTGGTACACAGTGTTATTGTCTACTGGAAATTCCTTTATACGTATACAATTATACGTACGCCATTCCCATTTGCAATGAATGATAATAATGATATGTTATAGTCAAGGCTAGACATCACTAGGATAGTGACAAGGCAGAGTCCAAACTGACCGACATAGCAAATATTAGGGACTTCTCAAGAAAAAATTTGTACTTTCTTCCTCCTCCGGCAAATAAATCTCCCTTCCATCCAACCTAGCTCTCTTTCCCGCACACAAAATGAAGAAATACGCGTATATACATCCTGTATATGCCAGAGCTAAACTGACTACTATATGGCATCTCGTGTAAATAACTCAAAATACTTTGTTTCCGCAATCTCCGCGTGAAATTTTATTCTGTTGCTCGATTTTACGTTATTGTACTGTAACTAGAGTTATTCTTTTTATTTTAACGGCAAAAATTCGTGAGTATATCTTTTATTCAACATTTACAAATAGTAAAAATTGCGTCACCCTTTGCCTTGTTTATGGTATCAAATTTCGAGTAAGGAAATAATTAGGTAAATCACTCCTACATGCCAAGAAGTACGATAGTAAATTATGTATCTGTAACAAACAAGAAGAATTACCGGTATGCTGCAATGAATACATTGTAGCTAATATATATATATATATATAATGTATACTGTATATTATACAGTGTATAATCTCTATCAACATTTATTTTTGAATCTTAAATCTACCTAATTAATTACTAAAAAGGCAAATGGAACAACATCTGCACAACCCAACTACAGTACTACGTATCCTTTTACATGTGTTCGACAAATAAATATTGTACTGTCGACTTAGTAAATATTCTATTTATACAATGACTTTATCATCCGATTTGCCACTAGCTAAAAATTGATCAGTTACACTTTATATATCATAATAAACAATATTAGTTCATTCTAGTAAAGTCAAATGTTCATACTGCAATGACGGTAATATTCATGACGCATAAAGACGAAATGGATAACAAGGTATGTGCTGGCATAACTAAAATCTCCGAAACTACCATTATCACTGTCAATATAGGAAATATTAAAATTCTAGCAGCAATTTGATATCGCTGTAAGTCAAAATCATAAAATGGCTTTAAATTATCATTTATTTTTTAAATGAGAAATGGATGGATTCATTCCATAAAGATGTGTACACACGTATACATTGATATGGGATGCAAAGATATAAGACTATATGCTCCTATACTTCCTTGCTAAATCAATGGAACTGATATTAATTGAAATAATTTTCACACAGCAGTCACTACACAAAGAGCTAAATTTAGAAAAAGTTCAATTGACAATTAGATCCGGAGAAGAGAAGAAAAAAAGGAAGCCTGAGGAAATACTAATTTAACTTGACACTGCATTTTATAAGAAGTTAAAAATGGAAAGATCAAAGTATCTAATTGAGAATAAATCTCACGAGAACATACGCATATATTAAACCTGCTTTATTCATCATTGGGTCTTTATGACGATAAGTCGGATATTTGAGGAGGGAAAATAAAAGTCAACGAGGTTAACAATAAAGGACCATACAATATTATCCACCTTATGACAATAACACGGAATTTACAATTATGATTAATCTACGGTTTCAATATAAACTTTTTATGCATAGCATATACTATATTTTAGATCCAAAAATAAGCCTAAACAGTAAATGACAGGTCTTCATCTCATGTATAGATTTTCTTAAACTTATAAAACATAAATAACATAATGATCTAATTTTATGCTATTGCACTATCAAAAAATATTATTGAAGATTTATCATCTAAATTTAATCAGGCATAATCAAGATTATTATAATTTCAATATCGTATACTCTAATTGTAAGCATATGTGTCATCAGATAGAATTAATACGACTAGCCAAATCAGCATTCTAATATCTATTATACATAAAACTTACCTCCAGTGTATATGTTTTTCATTTGTTTATTCTGGGAGAAATAAATTACCAAAATAAAAAATTTGAATAAACTGCACGATGTAAATTATTGAACGTCATGCAGTTTATTTAAATTTTATTTTAGTCAATAAACATCGTCATTAAAGTAATGCTCAAAGTGTTAAACAAATGTCAACAAAAACAAATAAAAGTAATAAGTATCTGTATTGCTCTCATCAAAATTTCATTCTTGAATGTTTTGCTCCAATCAATCAATCAATCAACCAATTAAATAATATTCGTGATATAGAGTCAGATGAAGCCATTAGCTCCGATAATTTTGTTCTTTTTTATACTCTTTCTTCTGCTAGATGCCGTAACGGTAGATAAATGAATGATCTAATTTCTCAGAAAAACTGTATTCAACCTGTATTACCATAATAAAGAAAATTCAATTTCTCATTCAAGTAGTAGATTAGAATTTTTATTCACGATACAAGAAATATCAGTATAGGTTATCAGAAACCGTAGATAAAATTTGGGAATCGCTTAAGCAGTCCTTGAGTGTTATTTCTATTCAAATCCTGCGATCGCTTCATTAAATGTACAACATCATTTCATACATGAAGCAATGTAATCGACGAAATCAATAACTTTAAATATATGAATATTCTTGTTACTCTATCATGTAGTACGGTTTTCACAAAAATAGTATGCAATAATTGAAACTATTACATTCATTATAGTGCATCTTCTGTATTAATAATTAGTAAGACAAGTCTATAGTTTAAGATTAACTAAATTAGACAGGTATACTCAATAAAGTTATGTAAAAAGTTGCAAAATGAAGCTTAATTATCCATTTATTATTAGAAAATCCTCCCAAATTTTCAGTATTAAATTTGATTTATTTAAGTCGTCAATAATTTTTATATTATTTTCATCATCTCCAGGCTGGTGGATGATTACTGTACATTGGCACTTATTAAAATTAAGAAAATTTACTAGCCAGTAGTCTACTAAAGCTCAATCTGTTTCCATTTTAATCTAAATACTCAAGTAAAACAATAACTCTTCACTGGTTTGTCCTTAATCAACCCAATTTTTATGACGAGTACGTAAACTTTTAATTTGACTAGACGCTGTCAATCATGCATATACTTACATAATTAATTTCTATTTCTGCGAATAGATCCGTTGTAAGTTATGTCACTGACCAAAGTTGATAAGTTACCCCCTACATCAGGAAATAGTTGGACATAATCACGCAATCCTATATTTACGAAGCAGTGAATTGTGAAACAGAAGTTATGATGTTCGAGTCCATTTCATGCTTGGCTTGCTTTCTTATCCATTAGAGTGTATAAATATTATTAATAGACTACTGTAGCTATCATGTCTAAGCTACAGCTCATAAGAGTGTTGCTTTAAAATACATTTTTTATTTATTTGAGAATTATCTTCTACATTTGGGGATAAACAAGCTGTTGTATGAATATTTCATGAAAAAAAACGAAATAAAATCTGAATTTGGACGTAGATAAAGATTCAATATCACCATTATAATAATTATTCCATAAATTTTTAATCATCTAGCAAAATATTTTTTCAACTCAATAATCCAATTTGGATCATACCGACGACGTCTTTATCAATCTGACTAACATATAAAAATCAAGAAAATTTTAATTGATTCATTTACATGGTAAAATGATACATTTATGACTCAGATGTGAAAGTCTTTAGATTTAAATGTCGGCTAGAGGTAGATCTACACGTAATCCTCGATGGTTTACGATAAATACTACTGGTTAATCTTAACTCGAATCGACTTGGACTGCTTGAAATTGCAGATGTGGTTGTACTTAACGAAGACACTGTTGTTGCTAGATAGAATAAAAAAGGAAGAAAATGAAATCAATAAAATGCTTTGGTATTTTGCATAATCCATGTTATAACACTTCTAAGGGTAACCTATCAAGAAATTAACTAGATTTTATTGTTAAAATAACAAAGATATTGAATCAGTCAAAACAGTTGGAGATAATTAATTCAAAAAATAGCTTGATGCGTGCTTTAAGCTACGATTATTTTATGTATTATAATTAGATTAGATTACGTCTATAGTTAAATTGGGATGGATAAGCAAGTATGAACATTAAGCCATCCTTCAAGCCTGTTATGATATTATTATTCGATACTCTAATTTTGCTTCCTTATCAAGAAAGATAAAAATGGTATCGACACAAATTAGGCAATAAATTTAGGTTACCCATCTTTATCAATTATACTTACTGTCATGAATTAAGATGACCGTTAACTGTAAATACTTTATTAACTTAAATAAATTGTATTATATCTTTCAACTGAAACATAGCGTCATTCCACTAGCTCAGTAAAGAGAGAATCTGTCGAAATGTAGACTGTAGATTGTCCATATGAGATAGCAGTACATTTACTCGAACGTGCTTGGCAGAATTCTAACTAAAACAATTACCGTTATTCACTGAAAAATATGTAGCAGATATTGAAACTTAAAATTACTCAAATTTAAACTTGATCATTGAAGATTATATACATTTATGATATTGCATTATGATTCGGAATAGTATTTAATTGTCTCAATTTGGATAAGATAATCATTATTTCCGATACTATTTTTCGATATTCTTATACTTACTTCGTCTGTTGGTAAATGTCATCCGACGAGTTCGATTATATGATCGGATATTTCTCCAAATTCGTACTAGCTGTCGCCGATATGGTAATACAGTATATATGCATACATAAGGAACAATGATTGGAATCAACGACATAACTATTATAACCGCTAGTTCGGCATTATAAATAGTCTTGTGGTAGATTAAACCTGCGATTGCCACAACCTATAAAAGTTTTAAAACATCATAGACAGAGAAAATAAAGTTATTCCAATTTTAGTAATAGTAACAACCAAATCATTTCCATCTATTAGCGCCTATCCACACTAATTATCATATGTCTAGTCGCCATGAACCAGAAAGGAATTCTAGGCTACACATTGTCCAAATACTATATCGTATTATTGGATAGACAGTAATTAAAATAATAATATCCCCATAATAAATAATTTGGTGATAATTTTGAATACTTTATGATTCAATCGTTAGATCTTATATCAAACTAACTTAATAAAGCAATTGCGTTCTATCCAGTTACTAATAGAATATGAGATAATATCGTCTATAACAACGTTAATGGATTAATCAGTTTGCTAGTAGGTTCTTACTCGCATTACTTGTCTTACCGAAAATGCTAACCAAGAAGAGAAACACAATATAAATAGGAGGATTGATGCTTTAGCAAAAGCAAGTTCTTCCGATCGACGAGCTAAACGATTGCGTTTCAGTAAGTTAGCTATGAGTCCATTGTAATCTGATTTAATTTCAGCTCGAGGACCAGTTTGGCAGCATGGATTAATTTGATGCCGTCGTTTAGCAATTCGACATAATGTTCGCAATATGGATATAGTACAAAAAACGTTAACAATACACAGTACCATGCCAAGCGAGAATAGAAATATGGTATAGCCAGTAGCTTTAGGTAGTTTACTCTTATAATCGAAATGACAAAACGAGTAATATGGCGAAATAGATACCATGTGAATTTGTGTTAATAATGGATAAGACGAGTGGAGTGCCGATATGATACATGTCGTGATAAATGCGATAAAAGTGGTTGTATTCGTCACGAAGTTTCGGTATACAAAGGGATGTACAATGGCTATGTATTGATCTAAACTTATTAAAACTACGAGGATAACCTCATTGCTGGAAATCATCGTTAATAACCAACCATAAAAGTTACATGTGAATGTTCCACTTCTTAAGTAGTACCTGCAATCGTGTGAAAAGTAAACAAAAATCGAAATAACATGTAAAGGTATACAAAGTAAACCGAAAATTGCTATTCCAACGATAAAGATATCGGTTGAGATTCTTCTTTTTAATGTTGATATAATATATAATAAAACGATATTGCCGAGTAAGCCAAATACAGTCGCTGATATTAAGATGATACCATAAACTAGGCGATAATCATTTTGAATTATAGTAAGATTGGTGCAACTATAATTGCCTTCCATGACGGTCGTTATTTCGTGTTTCCTCGGTCGTTCTCGAAAAATTTTAACTATCCACTACGTAGTTAAAGCTTGATGTAATCTTGTAACGTTTACAAAAGAAGATTTGGGATACTGCAATAATTGATAAACCGTCAAAATAAATTTTCATCACATTGATTCCTTTAGATTAATTGCCATTTCATATGAGCTAGCAATGCATATGGCCATTGGTATTTTCTTTATTATATTTTTCCTACATTAAAATAGACTTGACATTAGTTAATATTATAAATTGAGCAGTAGGATTATATCTAACCAAGCCTACACCGTTCATTATTAACTAGACAATATTTATAAATAATAAATTAATTTCGGAGATTATTCCATACGTCACATTATCTTACGGAGTGAAATGAAAGCATTATGATACATCAATTATTTATATTAATTCTAATGAATATGATAGTAGAAATGAATAAAATGGAATGGTGGACTTGCAAGACACGTATCTCCGAGAGTAAGAGATAACTATGAAATCTTACCTAAAAAGCAAAACTATATGCAAATGATAACAATTAAAAATAGAATTTGTAATGTTGATTAATAAATTAGCAATTTTGAGATTTACCACCATAAATCGTCATGAAATATTAACTGCTGTATTGAAATTAATTCTTCACTTATAATATTATTGCTAAGACTTTTAGTATATACCATTAGTTATCACAATTATTTATTAAAATACTATGGTCTCTTTCTATCGATTTTGAGAGACATTTAATTTAGAAAGAAATTGACTTACTAATCAGGATGCAAACAAGCTATAAATATAAGATAAGAATTAGAAACATCACTTTAGCTTTAGATCGATAATGTACTTGTACGTGTTCGGATGGAGTATATTAAGTCTATTTTAAATAATGCGGTAACAGGATTAATGTCACCAACTAAAGAATGGATTGCACAAGTTTAAAAGTAAATTATACGAATCCAAATCTTAATATTTTTGTGGGTAAAAAAACTACAGCAATCTATATAGATATAAGTTTTCAGATTAATTGCTATCATAGTTTTCATTATTATCTACGCCCGCTGCTGGTGTTAAAAATAAAAGGATAAAATTTACTAATAATAACATACTAATTTATTGAAGATTAAAATTTTATCGATAAAAATACGATATTCATCATTTTTCACCCATTTAACTTACCAGTAAATAAAATAAAATGTTCACTTCCATCAAAATCTAGCCAGCCCATTCACTCATATATTTGCGTTTTATTCTCATGAAAGGGTTTTTGAGGTGATTTATTTACTGTAACTGGCACGTAAAATACTGTCTTGCATTTAGAATGCACGAGTTGATGAATGCTGGCTATGAAATACCAATAACATTCCTTTTTATACTAAGTGAAATTGATCCAATTGATAAATTCGAATAGAATCCTTTTCTTATAAACTAAATATAATGGCTCGATGACAATAATTGATTACACAATATGTAAATGCACATTTTGTAAACGCAGAAATTACTGTCTTAGTTATTACGTTGATCTTACTACTAACACCATATTCCTAACTGCACACTATCTAATTATTCAAGTATATAATAAGTACTACATATACATTTTAAGTAAAATAGCAGTTAGATAACAGGTACTGCACTACAAATAAAAATGCACATAATTGTATACAAGATATAAGTGCATGCATGCGCGTACTGCGCACAAGAGTAACAGATTTAATCAGATAGGGAGAAATGCCTTTATTTATCATGCTACGTGTGCTTACATAATGTTTTAATCTGCATCTATAAAACATTTGAAATATGATAGCTGATAAAATAAATTTGCAGATACGGTATAAGTACATCAAGAGATGATCGTATTATGATCGTTACTCAATAATGAAATAGAGTAAGATGTGCCTAAAGAACATACTTGCTGATCTATTGTTTGTAACTACTGAAATTCTCTTTATATTTATTCAGATACTGGTAACGATATAGAAATGTTCAATCATTTCATCACATTTTAACAAATAATCCGGTGTATTCAATTTGACTATAAAAGAAAATAGCTTATAGAAAATTTTCTCATCCATAGTCGTTAAACAAAAAATTTCAGTCTACTATCCTTGATCATAATAAATGCTTAGCACTTTGGGCATATTGTGATCTTTCATTCTCAATTACTGATTTCTTAAACGGGAAAATAATCATAACCTATACAGAAATGACATGAAAAGACTCTATAATAGTTATTGGTGCAATTGAATTACCTAGTTGGTAATTCTATAGGTTAATTAGAATATTGATTTTCATAGCAAATTATTATGCGGTGTACTTTGATAGCTTGGGAATAGCTTAAATATTATGCTATATGGTATAAACTGGGTAATAATGGCTTACTCTATATCAACAATTTAGTGTAGATACTGATATAATCAATAATTAATGTAAAAGACAGTATTGTAGGTATCCTAAAGGAAAAGGCTTCTTTTCAAATTTAATAAAAGATGAATTATTCTAATAAATTTATAACAGATAGACTGCAATCATTAATATGGTCATGTATTGTGAATTGAAACGATTGTTTTATAAAGATGTTCAGATTTTTAGGGAAAAATTTAATTTCTGTTTTGTAATATTAGATAAATATATGGCGCTATTCTAATCTTGCGTTACTATAGTAACTATTCCGTAATACTCGTTAATGCATCTGTCATCACGCAGCTGACTCTCATGGTCTTCATTCAACTACTTCTTACCTTACTAAACTGTATTCAATTCAATTTCATTACCTACTATATGATCTGTAAAAGATATCTAGATAAAACTACTCAATACTAAAATAGGAATATTACAACACTCTAATCCCACATTTCATATCTCAGAATACGTCAGCAGAAAAAATTATTTTTATAAGCATGAGAAATTTGGAATAATGTTTATTTGACGATATATCAAGATAATTTTAACTCCTTTCAGAAGTTGAAATAATAATTTTTAAAGTAATCACTGTAATTTTTCCTATAAATTAATAACTTTTTATATTAGTAATGCTAACGATAGTAACATTATCTCTATCAGCAATTATATAACTGTATATCAAGACTTATTGTCCCCACTTTGACGGTGCAATGTTCTATTTGTACAGAGTTTCGAGCTATCTTTCATTAAGGAAGTATTATTAGGCTGTGAGATCAAGGCTATCAAAATATCATGTAAAAGCATTGTTCGATTTAAATGATCATTATAATTAAGTACATGTACGTATAGTGCATTATGCCATTAGAGAGGCGGGAGAGGATCTTATCTCATTACCAGAATTGAAAAATAGAATTATAAACATTGCTTTAGATTTGGAGATAGATATTGGTTTATGATAACGATAATTTTCACATTAGTACTGAAAATAGCAGTCATAAAGAAACACTACTCGCGATTTAGCGCTATTCTAGATTAAATTATATATATTATGCTAATTGTATTAACGATATGAATATAGTGCATAATAAAATATAATTAATGTGGCTGAATGTACGGTTACTCAGCTAATGGTTATGTCAAATGTGAGGAGCTAGAAAATATCGATAATTTGAAATAAACCATTTATAACAAGCAAAATTGATTCATAATTAACAATTATTGACGCTAAAATATACGGATAAGTGATACTGTTATTTTTAGCACTCTCATAAATAAGAATTTTGCGTAACATATCTACCATATCTATTGGATGCTTAATTTATTGCGTACAGAAATAACTTGAGTACCATATCAGTTTAGGACCTGATGAATCGAGTTGTTAGAATATGGTTTTTAACATTTGTATTATGTGTACCCGTCAATGTATTCAATCAATACAGTCACACTCGAAGATTGTAAGATACGATTGCAAAATGAAGGCGAAATTAACAATGCTTTCAGTAAATATTTTATTTAGTCGATATTCTTGGAAAAACTTAAAGTAGTAGATCCTGTCTATTAATTTAATACAATCGTATTACATTAATCATAAATAGTCTTAAAGTTTAATAAATAATCTTGTTGATCTTAATTTACAAAATATATTAAATCTTTAAATTGTACAATAATGGCATACCTTTTACAAATATTGAAAGTAGATCCGACGTTTCTCTTCAATGCTTATGCATATATTCGCTCATGTTTGATTGATCTTGCGTCCTTAATAACTGTACTGTGCAATAATTAAATTTTGAATTCGAAATGCAGAATATTCTTGGCATCAATGAAATCAGATAAACCCTGAACAAAAGAATACTCCTCCATAAATGAAAATAAGGCAGTATAAGATCTTTCGGTGGTGGAATAAAATAACAAATCAATTAATACCGTAACTACTAACTAGTTGACTTTTACGGTCAGTATCTACGAAATTGGGATTCACTACAAATACTCTAATAGTAGGGTATTTAATAAAAATGATGTTTATCTATTTAAAGATGTACACTATAACCGGTACTCTAAGAGTTTAGCTACCGTCTTATATTTATGTCAGTTTACAAGTTATTAGCATTAACCAGAAATTGAATATTGAAATTGACCCTACTGAATTTTCCATAATCTCTGCAAATTGATAATTTGCTGTGCAATTTTATTTACTCATACTTTTATTTGGTTGCCATGTCGATCTGATTGGTCGTCACTCGAAAATATAAATAAAAAGTTCTTAATTGCAAACTAGGATTGAACAATTTGTACTTTGACCCCTTAATAGCTCGAATAAGAAATTGTATGGTTATACTGTCAATATTTAAAGATCAAATTGATCAACAATATCCTTTTATACCATAAAAATGTGGAAGTGACGAGAAAAATTAAATTGCAAACGGAAGTACTTACTTACATAATATATGAACACTTCAACGTTGTTAAGCCTATCAGCTATCAGGCCAGAAGTAGTATAATTAAAATATAATAATAAACCACTGCAATAATCGTAATTAGGTGAAGCCTCTATCTGATACGTGTATGAAATTATGCTATCAAACTAATT